CCTAGTGGTTGAAGTCTGTGGTTGCAGAGTCAGCCTTGGTGGCCTTGGGCAAACTGCGCAGTCCCAGGATGCTGCCAGAAGAAGGGAGTGGTGAACCATTTCTGAGTCTTCTCTACCTAGAGAAAACCCTGAAAAGTATCACCATAAGTCAGAAGTGACTTGATGGCAGATAATTATTATTCTTACATCAGAGAAAAAGAGATGACAGATACACTTTTTTTAAATTTAAAAGCAAGAAATAGCCATTGGAGAGCCAGAACACCTACGCCCAAGTCTTTCTGATCTTGAGAACAAGAAATGTCTTTTTTTAAAGGTTGTTTTTAAAATGCATCGGACTTTAGGCACAAACCTGCTTCCAAAGTGGCTAGCAAGGATGAAAGTCTTGGGGCAGAGTGTGTGAGGAATTGAGCGAGACTTTAACAAATAAATTTTCCTCTTATTACACAATGGATAAAAGTTCAGACAAGGACATCCAGAGCAGGGACCATCATATTACACAGTTGTACGCATGTTTTTAAAACTACATCATCCATACACTACACTACCAAGAAATAAAAGACATAAACCCAAGGTCACCATAAGTCAGAAATGACTCAACGGCACATAATTATTATTAAAATGTTTTAATCTACGTGCATCAGTGTCTTTTTTGCTCCAAGGACTGACCCCTTGAACTGCTTTTAGTTCCAGCTAAACCGTGGCATTAGGAGTGCCATCACCACTGCATGCTAATCCCTCAAAGGATAGTTTTTCATAATAAATACCAACAACAACATGCCAGCAAGTCAATTCTGACTCCCAGGGGCTGCACAGCTTGCCCAAGGCTACACAGGCTAGCTCTTCCCTGAGAAGGCGCAGGAAGGATTCAGACTCCCAGTCTTTGGCGCTGTAGCCAAATACCTAATTCCCTGAGCCATGCAGCTCGCTTTGCTTTTCATACACTGGGAAATGACAGAGCAACATTCAGTCCCGTTCTGACAGTCCAACGAGAAATAAAAGAACTTGCCGGTGGAATGAGATATTGTTGCCGTGGGAAAATTTGTTGTTGCAGTTGATCGCGCAGCATGATTTCACCATAACTGGGCATGCAGCTATTCTGTGCACAAACTGTGGAGAGAGCAAGAGTGGATCTTAACAATACAAGTGGGAGCTGTAACAAAATTTTGCTGCGCGGAACATGGCTTGTCTAGAATTCGAGCCTCTCTTCCATCTCTCAAAATCCAACAGCATACAGTGAGCTATTTTGGGTCCATCCACAATTTTAGAAAATACAATTAAAAGTGGGGGGGTTTCCCCCAAGTCAAGTGATATCTGCCTTCTAAGTGGTGCCATTTTGGCTACTTCAGCAATCACACTGACAACCAAAATATCAGAAACAGAGGACATGGTGAAATATCATTTAAAAGACAGTAACCAATAAATAATTATATACTGTACCTTCAAATCAATTCTGTCTTATGGGGACCTTTTCCGGGGTTTCCTTAGTAGAGAGTATTCAGATGGCTTTTAGCAGTCCTGTCTTCTGGGGGGTGCTGTGGGAGTGTGCAGCTGGCCCAAGGCTACTTAGGCTATAGGTTCTAGGGAATCGAACTCCCAACCTTTTCCTAACTCGCTGAGCTATCCAGCCAGCCCAGCGCCGCCAGTCCTAGACTACGAGAGGAGTCTCTCCCATGAATCCTGGG